GTATTAATCTACTCTCAGATGTATCTGCACATGGCTTATCCGGATATGATTGTATACGGCATACCATGGGCATTTATCGACGCCCTGGGCGTACATTACGCTTTTGGTATCAACCATTGGGCGCACACCTACTTCTACACCATATGCTTTTATCACGTAGCTCGATTAAGACAGGTAAACGGGTCAATTACCAGGATGGCCCGCTCGGTTGGCCACCAATGTAATGATAAGTTTGTCAATTATATCGTAAAGCAGCTGGATCAAATTCACGGCGAAATTGCCGACCATAATGAATCATTTTGGGCCAATTATGCGGTGGTATTCCTAACGTTATACACCTCTGCGGCCAATGCACTGCTTTTTGGCGAGATTTACGCTCAAATACCATTCGCGGCACGGATTATATGCCTGTACCCAATCATATCATGCACTTTAATGATCACGTGCTTTCTCACCATAGGCTCCAGCGTTTATCACGAAGCCTTCCGTGCGTATAAACTGTTTAATAATTTAACGTTTGCTTTGAGTACCAACAATATTTGCGCTAAATATAAGGTAAGTTTAATCTAAAATATAAGCTTACATCACATAATTTATAGTATTGTTATGTAAATTATTTTTGTTGTCTCCCCCACCACCCCATCACTTGTCTCCACACATACGCCTAAAATACTGTTTGAAGAGTTTGTCTCATATATGGCTTCGTATATCAGTCTATGGTTTGGTTTCTCTATTATATTGCTATCAAATGAAATACACGTTTGCTTTTGCTATGTTTGTTATAAAGTGAAAATATTTTATTTAAATATTTTATTTAAACAAATTAATTGCAATTATAATAATATTATAATCAAATATAATGGAGTTAAACGCGTTCAACCATTTAATAAAACGGTTAAGGTTAAGACATTATATTGACATTAAAAAGTTTATAAAGTAACCTCAATGTACATACAGATTGTATAATATAATATTTATATATTACATACATAATTAAGCTTCATATCTGGCAATTAATTAATACTCATTAATAACACTATACGTGTATATTCAAATAAATTTTACTCACATTGTATACATTATACATTTTATATTATTTAATTTTATAATTAATATTGTAATGAAACTTTATATTTAAGGCTCACATGCATATTGCCATACACTGTATGTAATATCAGTTATAATGTGTTTTAATCCACAATGTGTAATTATTTTGTGTCTAAATAAGTGAACGTAATAACCTGCCGATAGCTGTAAATGACTTATTATAGCGCATTTATACATCAATATTTGTGGCATGTATTATTTTTAATATTATTTTATATAAAATGCGAACCGTGACTAAAATCATTATCAATTAATATATTATTTATGGTAATGTTATATTATACTATGGAGGTTACAATTAAAACTTTATAATATTGCAACATGTACTGTACTCGCTGCACCTCTTCAGCACTCCTGCTGTACCAGTACTCTGTGATGAGTGGCGCGCGGCTTCGGCTAAGTGCTGTAGAGCGGCGGATGACTCGATGAATGTTATCATTACCTGTAGAGCTACCCCTCTGCAACATTCTTACCTTCACGCCCGCTCAGTGGCCACCGTGTCCGGTCACTTATCACAGGTTGCTCTTCTTTGTAGTTATTAAATGGGGGTTAAATAACACACAAAGTTATATAATAAAGAGTTTTATTAAAGTTAAATAAAAGTTATATAAAATAAGACATACCTCGGTTTTAGAAAAGAAACACTACCCTCTCTTACATACAGTAAGAGAGGTACCAACAGAAGCTCCAAATAAAGGGAAACATAGCCTATTTATAGCCTAACAGTGAGTAGGAGTTGTGTAACATTCCAATGGGAATGTTATACAACCAATCGCTAACAAGTATTGGAGTTGTGCTGTATGTATACAGTTATGCAGTAAAATGCATACATGATGCAATATATAAATATGAATGCAAACATATAGCGATCATTATCTATCATAACATTAAAAACATATGGTTTTGAAAAATAAATTATTAAAGTTATACAATAATTAAAATAAACAAATATTTATAAATCATTACAACTCGATAAATTAATAAATAATGTAAATATTAGCAAAAATACTCTAACAATTATTTTATCTTGTTCTTTATTTATATGTATGAAATCTCGGCACCAAAATGTGGGTGAATATGGAAATATGGTTGGGTTATAAACAACAATTTTAAAACTGAATTCTAGTCAAAAATAATAAGATGGAAATAACCGATGGATTGGTAACTATTCCGTGTCCGTGGGATAGGATTAATATACTTTCAAAACTTACATTCAGGTGATTTATTTAAAAATCTTAAACTTAAATTTATATTATATTATGATTTCAATAGTAATGTATTTTCTATTATAATTAGTTGGTTATGGAGTCTATTTTTTCGGGCGCATAAAAAGGACCTCGAGTTCAGTGACCTCTACCGGTGCCCAAAATCAGATGAGACACATCGGGTCCGACAGAAGCTCGAAATGTAATTCAAAAAATTAAATTTTTAATTGGTATTAAAATAATAAAATTATAATATTTTGCACATTATTTAAATAGCAATTGGGATAAACAATTGAAAAGTTAAGGAAAGCCATCGCTATATTGGGCACTATTCGCATCGTTTGGTCCCGAACTTGTTGTCCTCTATATACCCGATTTTATCAGGGTAGAGCATAAATTGATTATAAATGATTATAGTAAAAAATGATTATAGTAAATTTTATCGATTAATTTTATTTGAATTTTTTTTAATTAAACAGGACGCGGTAGTGAACTTGTTTCAACCATATTGTATTGTCTATTTGATCCGATATTTCAATAATGACCCCGACACTAGCCAGTGGTGGGCCATATGGGCAGCCGTGGGTATTGTATTGACCGCCATTGCAAACACGGTTATCTATTATTTAAATGTGGCCTTGTTATGCAATGTTGGTGTCAAAGTCCGGGCCGCCTGTTGTGCCCTAATCTACCGCAAGGTCTGTCCCATAAAAGTGTATACTTTTGTAATTTTTATTAATAGATTTGTATATAATCTTATATAAAGTCAATGCGTTTAAGTCATTCATCACTCGGACAGACAACTGTTGGCCAAATATTAAACATTATGTCTAACGATGTCCACAGATTTGACGAGGTATTAAATTCTGAGTTTAATGTTGTTAATTAAATTACACAATTAAATCTCGCTAGTAATTACACTAATATATATTTTTAACCTTGCTGTTATTAATGCTGAGAAAACAGTTTTCAGTGACGTCGAGATCATTGTTTGTGGCGCCACTGCAGGCGGCGATTGTGACATACCTATTGTGGTCACACTTGGGCTGGACGTGTCTGACGGGAATGGGAATAATTGTGCTGTTTATACCATTTCAAGTACTAATGGGTCGTATGTTTCGTAGTATCCGTCAAAAGACGGCCGAATTAACTGACAGTCGAATCCGTTTAATGCAAGAGATTATCGCCGGAATGCGTGTCATAAAGATGTACGCCTGGGAACAGCCCTTCGCACTATTGGTCGCAACCGCTCGCAAGTAATGTTGCAAATGATATAAATTACTAATAAACATATACAGTCTATCCACGATTGTGGCATGTAATCAGGGTAGAGTGACAATTTTTTCGGGACAAGTCCAGGTTTGGCACATTTTGTCACGGCGGAGTTTTCACAGGTACCATTGAGTGTTCCTGGGAAAATTTTATTTCAAGAAAAAAGTACCTGGGAAATTACAAAATGTTTACCAATATCCCAGAATTTGCAATAATTTTTATTAAATGTACCGGTTGTTAACATTTTGAGTTGGTCACTCTACATCAGGGCTGTAAAATTGTATGCGAAAATTGAATTATCTTAAAATATAGTACATTAACATTACTAATATGGGTTGACGGGTGATAACAAAACAAAACATGAGGAATGCTAATATCGCATGTGCCAAAATCGGAGACAGACTGTAGTTGTAATTATTAAACAAATAATATTGCTTAATATTAGGTTAGAAGTGAAACAAATTCGCTTATCAAATTTTTTGAAAGGCGTTAACCAATCAATTTATTTTGTGATAATACGGGTTATAATATACACCTGTTTTCTAACTTATGTACTGATGGGTGGGAAGTTGTCGGCGGAGACAGCCTTTGCCACTATTGCTTACTGTAATGCTATGCTTTGGTCAGTGGGATATAATGCACCCCTGGCTATCAATGCTTTAAGTGAGCTAATTGTAGTCATCCAACGTATCCAGGTAGTTGTGATGATTTATGTAATTGATTTAATTTCAATTATAAAATTATTCAAATTTATAGACTTTTTTATTACTCGAAGAGATGAGTGGTTTGGATGAGAGGGAAGGGAAAAACAACGAGACGTTCATTTCGGGGGAAAATGAGATAACTCTCGGAGTAATGGAAAACCCTTCGAGTAATGAAGAAAAAAGCGTTTTTATGGACAAAATGAGCGTTCGTTGGAATAATGTATGAATTCTTTGATGTCTTTCAACACGTGTTTAGAGTTTTATGAATACATTAGGAGACGACTGAACCCACGCTTCGGGACATTAGTCTGAGTGTAAAACCCGGACAACTGTTG